CCACATTTTGGACGAGTTGGGTAGGTTCTGGTGCCTGAAACACTACCTTAAGTCTTAGAGCCTGATGCCCAACCTTTTTTATCATTACAGATCTTGGAGGATGGAACACTAGCTGATGAAGGTGCTGGAGTTGAAGACTTCTGCTGATACTACGAGTGATTTCCACCACCGATTTCTGTTGAGAATTGTCATAATTGCATTTCCTTGCTTTCTTATTTTCCTTGGCATGTTCCCTAAGCTTATCACCCTCAACCTGTTGAGCATGATTCATGAGCCTAGAGATGTTCATATCTTCAAGCAATATAGCCTTCCTACACTTTGTCTTCACTAGATCGGATACCCCATACATGAACTTGTTCATTTGAGCCCTGGAGTCAGCAACCATATGAGGAGCATACTTGGAGAGTTGGGTGAACTTGAGTCCATACTCTTGGACCGTCATAGAACCCTACCTCAAATTCATAAACTCCTGAGCTTTTGCCTCCCTCAACTCTCCTGGGAAGAACTTGTCCAGAAAAGTCTCACTAAAGCATTCCCAAGTAATAGGAGTTGCATTTGTACCCGTGTTCTCTTTCCACTGAGTATACCAGATATGAGCTACATCCTTAAGCTGGTAAGATGCCAACTCAACCCTATCATTTCCAGTTACATGCATCACTCCAAAGATCTTCTTGACCTCATCAATGAAGTTTTGGGGATCCTCACCAGTCTGTGATCCTAAGAATTTAGGCGGATTCATCCTCATGAAATCACGAACTCTACCGTCAACTAGTTGACCCAACATTAGCATTTGCCGGAACTGGAGCCTGCTGATTGTTCTGGTTGGTCACGCTCTGAGCCAATAACATGATAGCGTTTCAAAACTCCGCATTCAAAACTTCCTAATTTGGGACTTAAGGAGCTGCGTTTGCATTCCTGGTATTCACATTCCTTCCATAAGCTATACGAGGAGGCATGATCGGAAATGCAAAACGATGAGTCGGAATGAGGAATTAGATCATACCTTACGCACGATAAGAGTAACAAAGAAATTGAAGTTTTCCTAAAACACTTCATAGCCTCCCTCTAATTAGATGTGGTGCACTTCACACCCATGAAAAGGACTCTACTTAGTGCGACTTTTTAGACATCCTAGGACTCTTAAACCTAGTGCTCTGATACCAAGTTTGTCACGCCCCGAGGCTACCCCGGATGCGGACACGGGACCTAGGATCACGAGTGACCCCAAGCTAACCCTGTTGGCATAATCATGAGCATACTAAAGATAAACTGAGTAATAAAGTTGTGCGGAAGATAAATCATATGAAAGTCTGAAATAATGGGAAATACCCATATATTGTCTAGATATATGAAAACTGTGAGTTGAGTACAAATGAAAGGTCAAACTCTAACACTATAGTTGAATCTAACTATGTCTGAAATAAAGCTCTACTGACTAGAAATACTAGGACATGACCCAACTAGATCTAGCAAAAACTGAAACCAAAGCTAAAAGCAATAAGCCATGTCACTAGTCCTTGAAGAATGAGGACTCACCACTGATGCTACTGAACTGAAGATCGGGAACCGATCTATGTGTGATCTGATTGTTGAGGACCTGAACCTACGTCACGAGAAGATGTAGCATAGAGTATGCATCAGTACTTTAGAGTTATTGAGCATGCAGGATAGAGCAAAGCTGAATAATAACATAACTGAAAATATATCTGACATGAGATAAGCAAGATACAACTGAGAATACTGAACATGAAATACTGAATGCAATGACCAATTTATAACAGGCTGAGACTGAATACTGAACTACACTAATAACATGGCCAATGCAATAAAGTCTGACTGAACTGTAAGGAAGCTACTAATAATCGACATAAAACCATATGAGCTAAATGTGGAGTCTGATGTATACTCCCCATCGAGAGGACCCAATATACCTTGCCAGAGGTATAGAGGCATGCTGGCATGATCACTAAAATGATGCCCACAAAGGGGACTTACAACCTACGGGGCACGTAGTTCTAGGACTTGAGGGTGACTGACCCTAGTCCACTCGATATTAAGCTTCCCAATTGATTAAGTAATTTACCATTTTTATGACTGAAGTTCTGTAATACTGGATAGCTCAAATACTGACATGCAAACTCTGAGAAAGTAACAATTATGATTGATAATGTGACATTTGTAAACTGAAGCATGTGTATATCTGGAATAACTGAATAATCTGGCCTAACATGCATAATTCATGAACTAACGAATATATACAACTAGGGTTCTGGATATCATATGAGAAATTGAGTAATAACATGATAATTTAATTTGGATAATTCTAACAGTTGAAAACCCAACAATTCTAACATTCAAGAAACCCTAGGTCTAGATAACATTAAGGTATTCTGACAGAAATCTAGAGACCTAATGGGTGAAAGGAACCCACTAATGAAATCCCACATACCTGGTGACAAATTCAACAGAGAAATCTTTCGATTTCGGGGCTGGAACTGATGGAACATTGTTGCGTTCTTGAACTAGGGTTCTTGACCTCTTTCTCCTTTTACTCTCTAATTTTTCTAAGTTTTGATGAATAATTTGACTTAGGTAAGTTTCAGTTATGTTTCTAGGCTAAAACTTATCAAAACCACGTAGTTTAGGGTTTAAACGACGTAGTTTAGGGGTCCAACGCATAAGGAAAAGACCAAAAGACCCCTGACTTAAAAGTTGTCGGGGTCACCGACTGACGGGACGGATGGACCATCGATCGACTGACGGACCGTGCTGGTCAACCGTCAGTCGACGATTGGGAGCTGAAAGCTGGGGGTTGACCCACGCCCCTGACCACAGACCATGGCCTGACCTATGGTTCGTAGGTCCTGGCGTGGGAGGACCCTTAGCTAGATTTTTGGCTACTTCTGGGGGAGGGATGTAGTGACCATCCACGGACCACCAGCACGGATCATGGGTCACCCTACGATCCGTAGGTGGTGCCCGTCGGTGGCACCTGTAGCTTCTAAAATCTGCAACTCTGGTATGTTTTCATATATGGGGTGTTACATAGATAATGTAGGTCGAGAAATTGCACCGACAACTTTTCTACCCCTTTTCTTGGGTGCTTTTCCCCTTTTGCTTTGGAAGGTGAAGGTACATTCTTCATCGACATTGCCTTCTTAGAACTTTGATTCATCATAGTCAATGGATCAATAAGCTTTTAGATTTGTTTTCAGTGCATTTAGGATCATTAGAATCATAAATTCGATCAGTGTTAGATGTATCTAATCGGGTAATCACAATACTGAAAAAAAAGAGCATCTTCCATATATATATAAGAAAATTGATGAAAACTTTTTTCGAAGAACATCAACATGGAGAAGACGATAAATACCTACTGATAGATTTGAAATTGATTGACTAGAAAGAAAGCTTTTGAAATTCAAATTGGAATTAAGGGGATAACTGATTAGATTATGGGAGTGAAAATAATGAGAAATTGAAGGAGTGAAAGTAGGAGTGGTGAAAGGTGGGTTTGGAGTGGAGAGTAATGTATTCGAACGTTTGGGCTTTTGAATGGAAAAGATGGATTTTTAAAATATTTTGAAATGGTAGAGAATAATATAAAATATAGTAAATAAAGGTGTGTAGATAGGTAATTTTTCCTTTAAAATAAAAAGAGGTATAAAAATAATGAGACATTTAAGTGTAAATATTTTATTTCTTGAGATATAAGTGTTATTTTCCCTTTCAAATACCACCTAATTCTTTTTTCAAATTTGATACTTAGGGATGGCAATGGGGCGGTGCAGGGTGGGGCGGGGTGAGCTTAACACGCAAATTTTTTAATCCGCCCCGCCTCGCCCCGCATAACAACTTTTTTTCATTTTCAACCCGCCCTACCCCGCCCCACATAAACCCACCCCGCATGAACTTGCCCCGCATAACTTTTTTAATATTTTTTTTCCAGTTAAGTTTGATACTAAAAATAAAATTCATAACAATAAATTATTTTTTTCATTAAGTTGTATTGATTTAATAGGATAACGACTTAAAACTTTATTTTTTAGGGGTCAATTGGAAAACATGTAAGAAATTGTATTAATTTTTATTGAACCATTTTCATATACTATCTCGAATATTTTAGTAGATTTATAGAAATTGTCTTGATAATTAATACTCTATCACTCTTATAACATACAAAAAGTTAAAATTAAATTTGAACCCACATAAAATCACATATACCCGCAACCCGCACCGCATTAATTTTTAAAAAACCCACTTCAACCCGCCCCGCCCGGCCCCACATAGCCTTAAACTCACCCCGCCCCCATCCACTCCGCCTCATTGCCATCCCTGTTGATACTTCAGCGGTAGGGATACCAATTTCTAAAATCATTTTTGCATAATTTCTCATAATTCTCCCACTTCGCCCGAAGAACCATCACTTGCTCGAGTTCATTCCCTCATGATTGCAAGGAAAAATTCTTGTTAAGATTTTTATCTTTCTTACAAGGAAATAGCCTTTTAGGAAAAGTGTCTTGACGAAATGATAACCAAAGGCAAACAAAACAAAACAAAGTTGATGTTTTTCATTTTTCCATCTACAATTTCAATAATTGATCATCTTGTTCCATGCAATGGACAAAGCACATTGACAACTCTACTCAGAAAAAAACAGCTAGGCCGGCATGACAAATCAAGTCTCATTAAGTGTTCACCTAAAACAAAATTCACACCAGAAAAAGGACAAGAATATACTAATTCACCAACAAAGTTATAATAGAAGGTCTTTCATGAATCTGTTTTTGTATGCAGCCAACTCTGAAGAGCATTCAGTCCCTTTGCGGTTGAACGAGATGGGAGGTCTATCAACTACACTGAGATTGCATGTCAACGAGCATGAACAGTCCCATATAAAGTACCGCACAACACATTTTTTTACTGTTTCTACGCTTGTAAGGATAAATAAATACTTTATTACTGTTTCTACGCTGGTAATGATTGAAGACAAGTCGGGTAACAAAGATATGAAAAAATCTTCATTTTTTTCTTTCTCCAGAAATATTATCTGAATGGCACTCCTAATTCTCATCAACTCTTTAAACTCTCCCCTGAGACATCTCAATGCTGACAAGTTTATCAAAATTGCTGATACATAATCCTTACCACTAACTTTATGACAGCAAAGTTTGTGTTCCCTAACCACTTGATTGTATTCACCAACCAAAGTAAATGAAACATGCAATTTAACAGTCCTGCAGAAAAAAATACAAAAAGGTGCATCTTAGTTCTCCACTTCAATTAACATGATATATTTGAAATTTGAAAGCAGAAATAGCAAGCATACTGAGACACTTGCTATAATATGAAATATACCAAATGTATCAGAATGTATAACCATTACAGGTACAAAATATGTGTTCGGCTCCAATTCCAGATTACAGTACTTCTACTATTGGTAACATCAAATCAAGAGACAAATTATCAGGCATAATAAGAATTACACTAAGGTAAACTTTACATAGCATTCTCCGATAGAATCAAGAAAATTTCAAAATTACTCGTGTCACCTGAAGACTAAATTTTAGCTCTTTCACCAAGTACTTCCAATATCCATAGAGAAGACTCGAAAAATAATGGTTTAGGCAAATTATCAATTCTGCAGCCAAATGCAAATCAATTCATCCAAGGCAATGGAACTCCTTTTCAATTAATGCAAGTCAAGTCATTCTACAATAGATAGTTGAAGGAGAATAAGAAATGTTTGCTCTTTAATATGGATCTCAAGAGCAATGAGGAAAGTATTCCTTCGTTTGTGCTGTGTACACTGATGCATGGGGAGCCACCCTAACAGCAAAGAACCTGCAGAGGACAATCTACATTAACTTGAGCTTCATGCACGAGCAAGCATGAGAGAATGTGAACCATCTAATACTCGGTTTCCCTATTGCGTACATGCTGCAAAGCATGATGTGTAGCAATGTCAGGAGTCTACTGGGCGATATGCTAGAGACTGTAAAATAGTGGTACTAGGGTGGAAACTCAGAAAGAGCATGGGACGTAACTCCTTTAGTGCTCATGTGTACCATATGGAAGGAGATTCATATCAGCGTGCTTTTAAGAGTGGGACGTAACTCTTTGTAGAGAATCATGTTAGTATATAAACATCAGTGACGTTTAAAGTCTTCGTGCAAAACTATGTTATTTTGTAAGTTAGTCTACTTTTGTGCACACCTTATGTATGCAGGGCTTCCCATCATAAATGTTACTGCTGTTTATCTGCAGATACAACTATAAATAAACACAATCAATTAGTTATAAAATTTAAATTCAAGAATTTTCGTTCGAGTTGGCTGATGGAAATAAGTGAACTGACTCTCACTTTCTGCTTCAGAACGATTCCCTTACTCTCAAAATTTCCTTTAATCAATCCCCTCTCCATAGTCGTTTCCATCCTCTCCTTCATCATATGTCTCCTCTCGCTTCCTTCCCCTTCTTAGACAAACCCTCTTTCCCTTTCCTCCCACCTCATTTCCTCTATATTTCCTCTCCATTTTTTAAGACTTCAAGGCTAACTCTCTAACATAAACTAGAACCTGAATTTGTTCCCCATCCTACATCAAACAAGTTAAAATCAACATCCAGAAAGCCCCCACAAGCATCCCCCACTTTTCTGTGGACTGGCCAGAGTTTCTTTTAGGTCTAATATTACAGCTTCTTTGTAGGTTTATTATTTGCGTCTTTGCTTCTAGAGAGGAGTTTCTCTTTCCGTAAACACATTTGTTTCCATTCTACACTTCTTTCTACAAGCTCATAATGCTACTTTTGGTATTGCAAAACCACTTGGCGTATGTTCTGCAGAGCCGAACATTGATCAATAATAGTATCTTAGGCCTTTTGGAAATCCACCCTATCATCCAACAATCTCATTATTTTCCAGAGCAACACCAAGTGCACGGTTTCTTCTTCACCTTATTTATTGCCTTAAATAATCATTTACCATAATCTTCCTATTAAGATGACTGTTATAAAACTGTCAAATACATAGAGAATGAAGCAATTTTAACATTGTATTAATCCAAAAGGAGAGATATTGTAGGTGTATAAGTTATCTATCAAAGGAAAACAAAATCACTAAATATCTCAACCTATGATTGTGCTATGTATTCTATATGAAGATCTGTCTATGTTCATTCGGTGTCTATGTATATTCTATTACACTCCCCCTCTCAAGTTGTAGATAGATATTAATCATGTCCAACTTGTTACAAAAATATTCCACCCTAGTTCCATTCAAGTCTTCATGAATATATCACTTAATTGCTCTCCTATCTTCACATAGCCAGTAGAAATCATGTTTTCTTTAATCTTCGCACGAACAAAAGTGATAATCAACTTCAATGTGTTTCATTCGATCATGGTACACTGGATTTGCGGCAATGTGTAGAGCAACCTGATTTTCACACCAAAGTTTTGCTGGAGACAAAGGATTCATACCGACTTCAACTAAAAGGTGATGAATCCATGGTATTTCACATGCCAATCGAGACATAGCTCTATACTCAGATTTTGCACTATATCGAGATACAACATTTTGTTTCTTACTCCTCCAAGATAATAGATTTCCACCAACAAAGACGCAGTACCAGCAGTAGATCTTCTATCAATTCTTGAGCCAGCCCAATCAACATATGAAAACACTCAATAAAAGTATGTCTGTGATCATTATAGAGTATGTCAAGGTAGGAGCTCCTTTTAAGTAGCACAAGATCTGATCCAAGGCTACTTAATGTTTGACTGTCAATCCAGACATGAATTGACCAATGATACTAATGCATATGCAATATCTGGACGGATCACTATGAGTTAGTTCAATTTCACAACTAACCTTTTGTATCTTTCCGGATCATCAAAAGGGTCACCATCATCCTTAGTAAAAAGTACATTAGGAACTATTGGTGTACGACACCGTTTGGCTCCCAATTTTCCAGTTTATGCAAGTAGGGCACTACATACTTTCTTTGGACAAGAAAATCCTCTTTCTTGTTTTTTGCTACTTCGATGCCCAAGAAGTATTTCAACTACCTCAAGTGTTTGGTATGAAACTTGGCACGTAAAAACTTCTTGAAAGGAGAAATTCCTGCAAAATTATCTCATGTAATAACAATATTGTCAACATAAACAACGAAAAGAGTGATACCAACTGTTGATTGTCCGTAGAGAACTCAGTGATCACACCGATACCCTTTTGAAGGCGAAAATATCCCAAGAAAACACACTTCAATGCATTTGGATACAACTAGGTAATAGGTGGTTGAACATCTCGAACATAACATGAGCTTCCAAATACCCCAGGTTCCATCGAAATTAGTGACTTATATGGAAAAAGAACACTGTTAGGCACATTACCAACAAGCACATTCGATGACACACGATTTATTAGAAAACGAACAATAGAGATTACACAACCCAAAGTTGTTTAGGAACCTTCATTTGGAACAAAAGTACCCCAGCTGTCTTAAGAAGATGCCTATTCTTCCTCTTAACAACTCCATTTTGAGAGGATATTTCTTGAGTTGTTCCATCACTTCAAGAAATCATATTTCTCTTGACTAATTTAAACCTAAAATCCTTTATGCTTCTCCAGCCGAATTCTCATGTGGTCGAATTGTCGTCCAACAGTCACTAAAAATAAACCCGAGGCATGAATAAAAAAGAGAGGAAATTTGCATGGTCCATCAGAAGTCAGGTCTCATAAATTATCAAAAACAAGAATTTCGGGAAACACACAAGACTGCTGTATTGGGTTCAGATGAGAAACAAAAAATTGCAAAGTACCTTGCGTGAAGGTAGTGCATGGGCGTATACTCAAATGCCAACCACATTGCTGTATAAACTCCAAAGAAAACTATATCTGATAATTGTTCCGCACTCCAACGTTAAGATCATATTACAGTTAATAACTCCACATGAGAGATCTGACTTGCCATATAAGCAAATGGAAGAGTCCAAACACTCAGTCACCATTTTGGGCTGCTGGATTTCTACCTTTAATCAGCTGCTTCAAATAGGAAAGAGACATTTAAAAACAGTAGGTTTTTATTAGCAAGACCAACTTGTCCAGATAAAATTTTAAAAATAGGAACTAGTAAATGGTGCCATCTCGTATGAAAACTTGAAGGATCCCATTGAACAGGAAAAAGTATCAAAATCCCAACGCCAGGTTAGAAGATACAACCTTGTAGAAGTACTTCCTCCGCAGTTTGATGGCAGTCCGTACACACCTCTTGACCCGAATCTTTAACATATTGTCGTTGAATATCTGATGCATGTTCAACATATAATTATCAGTAAATAGTAAATACTAACAATGTAACTCCAACAAATTCATAATTTTCATGCAATGTGCACGTGTGTAAACTCCAAACAAATTCATAATTCATAAGACAGGCAAATACAGAGAGAGAGAGAGAGAGGTGCCAGAAAATAATTCAAGACCAACATCCACATCAGATAGCACCAAGGTAAAAATGAGGAGGCATCTGAAAAACCAGCCAAAATGACAGAATAATCAATCACCGCCCCTAAAGAAGATAATAACGCCATGTTCATGAAGTGAGGTGCAGTCCAAGGTCCATCAGCATGTTAATATAGTAAATTGATATATCAACGGAAGGACAAACACACTTTAAAATATAACAAGCATGATAAACATAAAAATAATCTGAATCTTCAAAATTTATTTTTAACCCTTCAGCAGCAAAATAGAGATGCATTAAGTTCCTGTTGACTACACTTGGACCTAAATACACAAAGCAATTTTTAGGGAAGTAATGGTTGATCACGAGTTTACGTACATCACAGCATGTTCAAAAGTTACACAACTTAGGAGGTTTTCAGCTGTAATGCCAAAACCTGATATTTTAGCATAATAACTAGCTAATGTTTTGGAAACACGATCCAGGAAGCAATTAACGATATTAGTAGCTAAACCATCAGGGTCATGTAAAATGAGAAACAAATAAAGAAATAAATAAAGAGAAATCTTCAATGCAACATATGTTTTTGTCTGTAGTAGTATAGTGACTAGTGATAAGAAGATTTAACAGGAAATATAGGCAAATTCTTGTGGAGTCCAAAACTAAAAAGATGAGATTAAACAAACAGAAAAATAAGCACCACCACATAGAGTTGCTGAACTGATTACTTCACATTACCTTTCAAAATCAGAATGACACATAAACCAAAGTAATTAACAATGACATAATCACACAGTTGAAAGCATCCACTCAACGATCAGTGTAGCACAGTCGATGTTAATTTAAATAAACCTGCCTTTATAAGATCATCAATTGAGTGAGTTTGTTTAATGATCTTCTGGTGGTTCATGACAAGAATAGCTGCTACACAAAAAACTGGTAATTCATCGACAGTACTCCTTGTTGATGAGACCATATTAACACTGTGCATGCCACTACTTTTGGACCAAAAATTCCTTGTAAGGCCACAAAATGGATGAGCTAAGGAAAGCTTCATCCCGTTGTTTGCAGAGACAGTATGCTCTCCACTTCCATGTTTAGAGGGCGAGTCATCCTTTGAATCACTATTGTTATTCTCAATAATTTCTTCTCCTGATTCTGCCTCAGATTCCTTTGGAATCTGAATGACCAATATTTCAGGGCAGTTCTCCTCTAGATGATAAGCAACCGATTCATCAAAATCTGCAGCCCACATCATCTGCAAAGTCCAAATAAGTTAAGCAGATGAATAACAACAGAAAACACCTAATGATATTGAAGAGAAAGAAGACATGCTTGTGACTAAACGGAACAAAAACTATCCATATTAAATATCAATAATATTGCATGACAATCGTGTTGATGAACGAAATCTTAGTCATATGAGATCTCTGAACTTTATTGTCGCTCCACGCTCCTTGATAATTCTTTTCCTTCTCCTTACTACAAATGCTCGCAATTGTATGTTTTTATAAGTGTATGGGGGATACTACATTTAGGATAAGTCTGTGGTGAAAAATGGTAGAGAGCTTGAATGGTGATACAGTCATATCCCTGAAATGTTAAACAAGACTAACTTAGCTGATTATATGGCTACTCCCAAAAGATGCTATAAAGCTAAATAGTAGATAGAGCTGAATTTAAGATGTATATTATTAATAGACACAGCACTGTCATTTTCAATCATCTCTTTGTCTATTCTTAGGAAAATAAAAAGAGAAGTAACCCAGAAATTAGAACTCATTAAGAAAAGGGTCCAGGTAAACAAATCCATCAAATTACAAGAGAACTTCTGATGCTATAGTACTTGTCCTGCTAAAGGATTGGTGCTTTCTCATTAGGGCATGTCCTTTCACCTTGCAACTAACATTCTGATTCTCGATAAAAACAGAAACACAAACCTCCCACATACAAAGAACCTCATTAAAAGATAATTCTCGGCGGAAGAGCACCAAAAGCATCCGGAAGGCGAAGTGAAGGCTTTCAGCACCTATGCTTGACAAATGAGAAAACATTTCTCGATCTGTAAGTTCCACAATATGCCATAGAGCTTGCAATTGCTTCATGACTCCAGTTGGCCCTTCCATCTGAAAGTTCTCACGCTGAAGAGAAGGAAACACTAAATAAAGTCACAAGCACCAAAAGAAAGGAATAACAATGAAGAACTAAAGACGGAAATAATGCATGAATTGTTGTTCATGTACAGACCATTCTCCGTAGAAGCATCTCAAAGCACCAGAATGCATCAGCATTATCCTCAAACAGAACAACAAAAGGAGACAAGAGATCACTCATTCCTAGAAAAAATAAGAGAAGAAAATAAAGGAATCGCTTCAAGAGCTTTGAATTGATACAGCAAAAAGAACTTTGTCAGAAGACAAGGAACAACCTTGGCAATATCCCGTTGCCGGATCAACCCATGCATAAACAGCCAGGATATCTGACATTCTAGCCAAATTTTTTCTATCCTCATAGAATTCAAGATGGCTATCTGTTCTGACTACATCAACAACTAAAAGCCAAAAAAGGAATTCTATTTCAATACCATTAACATTCAGGTAAATAAATTTTCTGTAGGAAAAAAGAGGTGATCACTAATGCTGAACTTACCTATCTGATGTAATGTCCAGAGCCATTCCGACACTCTTTCATCACTGAAACCACCTCTTGGAGGTGTTCTCGCATTCATACTTGGAGTGTCGGGTGCGTCAGATATTCTGAGTTTGGTAAAAATCTCTGTTTCACGTTCCTGGAATTTTCCAGACCATGACACTGAATCCGGCCCAGTAGGATGAACCCTCTCAATTTCAGAGTTCAGGGAATGAGACACGTCATTTGATGAGGAAACATTTGCTTCTACGACTAGATCTGCATTATTATTTATTCTGAAACTGTGCATCTTGTCTTCTCCATATTTCAATTTACGCCTTGCTAAATTTCTCTTACCATATGACCTATGACCTTTCTTATTTTTGATACTCTTTCCAAATAAGTCAGTAACAGGTAAAGCAGGAAAATCAAAATAGTTCTCATTTACAGATGCTGATTGACATGCTTCACCCGCATGTTCGGTGGATCGGCAGCCGTATGGACCCAAAGTAGGCACAGAAAAGAAAGAGTCCAATGCTGCCTCATCTGTGCTTCCCCTTGCACTTATAAGGTCACCGGAATCAGTAGAGCTTTCCCTTTGATGTGTATGTTGTGTGTCTATACAATTATTATCAACATCACTGTTACCGTATAAATTGTCAGTATTTACATCAGAAGCTTGACTGCTCTTGACATCAGCTTCTCTTCGGCAGTCATCTTTGGAACTTGTTCTCATGTCCATGACCTTGGACCCAACAACATAAGCAAGGGAACCAGTTCCTACACTGGAATGCATTGATTGGCACTGCTTTATGAGGTCTCTGTAGCGTTCCCTGAGGAGATATTACGGATATACAGAAGTTCATATGCCAAAATTTGTTATTTGGAAAAGTGAAGACATCTCTCTTAGGTCCTCTTTTTTCTTACGCAGGTGGTACACTTTCTATAACAAATAAATTACCCCCTCTTTTAAAACACCAAAAAGAAATAACAAATCAAGGAATCAGAATCTTTTTCAGAACTAAGAAGTCCCTCGCACAATGGCAATGGATATTGGAAAATAAAGATAAGATAATTTGGTGTGTCTGATAAAACAAGCATGAGTCTGACTCCACTACAAGGCAATGGACGACTTTATTCGCATCTTTCAGGAATAAATTACTACAATGGATATGCAAATGCTAAAAGTGAGGACAGAACAATTGAGTGGGGATGTGAGGGGTTTTCACAAGCAGACAGTTGAGCCATTAAAATGTTGGGAGCGAGATACAATAGATTCCCGAGGAAAAAGTGGGATGTGAGTCATTCTCTAAGACACTGAAGATGTTGAAGATATAATTCAATAAATAAAGCGAAGATTTTAGACGAGATAGCAGTCTGTTTCAAAATTATTCTATTTCTTCCTCTCTCTGTTGCAGTCCTTTTTTATTTGTGAATTCTTTGTCTCTGTCTCTTTATTTTATTATTCTATTTCAGTGAATTTATTTTTCTAATAACAGCAATTTAAATGGAATCATCTGATGAAAGGAGAGACCCAACTTTCAACCCAACGTATTTCGTAACAAGGTTACTGATGAAGCGTGTAACCATCTCACAAAAATCTTAAATTGTTAGAAAGAGCACACTTTTATTTACTTAATTATATTCTCAACATGCCCCCTCCATGTACGAGCCTACAAATTTTTCATGGGCCAAGCACATAGAAGTTCATTTTGATAATGGGAGTTGGTCGGATTCCATCCTAGGACCTCTGTCTACTCTAATACAATATTGAAGTGTGTCACCATCTTATAAGCTGTTAGAGAGAGTACACTTTTATTTACTTAATTATATTCTCAATAGTTACCAAAGTTTGAATTGATTGTCACACACATCGTAGAGATGGTAATAGCAATGTCATATCCCGTCCAAAATATGAGGAACATGTTAAGGAAAATTTAGAAAAGTATGTTGAGAAAAAATATGAACGAACATGAGGGTCATGATTTGTCAATACCCCTTCTCTCAAAAATAATTAAAAAATTAAAAAAGTAATATTCTCTTCAACTTGTAGATTTACTGGTGGTAGGTCCTACAGAAGTTTATTTCACGAAGTATCTGAAGGATGTGGTTAGGCAAGAAAAGAGGTGAACATCCCATAGAATTGCCAAGAAGATTTTGACGGATTGTGCAGTTGCAATGTTTGCACGATGGATGCATGATGTTGGGCTTCCTTTCAGTTGTGTCAATTTTATGGATAGCTTTCAGTTTTTGTTGAGGTTGTAGGTTAACATGCTCCAGGAATGAAGCCCCACACCAAGTTACTTTGAGCACACATCAAACGGTACCATTTACCATGATATGCAATATACAACATCCACAACGTAGTCCTTTAGAATTAAAGAGGCTTGTTTAGGGAGAAATTATTCTCTTAATAGTTTCTACACTTTCTTTAATATTATTAGTTTTCTCATAAGTAGGTCATTGAACAAATCATATTAAGTATTATGCACTCTTTTATTCTACTTCTCTTTTGTTTCTGATCTATCCTCATTTAAGGTTTGCAGTTGTTAGTTTCTGCATAACACCTTGTTATTTCGATATTAGAGTAAATGGTTCAATGAGGTCGAAGACTGGTTCAAAGTAAGTTCAGCTCAAGTTGTAACCAATTTGACGATAAACAAATTGTCAAAAAAAAGTTTGAAGTACTACATATGGAGATAATTTTCAACAATCATGTTGCTACATCTTTAAAAACAAAAAGTATTTTTAAGCCATGCTTACTTTTAATGCATGGGCTCTAATTTTCAGCTCATGCTTACTTTTAACACATGAACTTCAACTTTCAACTGTTGCTTACTTTCAACACTTGGGTTCCAATGTTCAATCCATGTTTACTTCTATTGCATGGGCTCCGACATTCAATCTATACAGATATGGCACCTAGGTCTAACTCAACTCCAAGAGCTAGCTCATGAGGGGAGAATTGTACAAGTCTATACAAACAGACCACCCGTTCATTCCCCAATCGATGTGGGACTCTAACCCACTCTAACACCACCTTCACATCCACACCCAACTAGAGTGTGGACTAAGAGCCCAAATAGGGATGATTCTGGCTCTAATACCATGTAAAGATATGACACATTAGCTTAACTCAACTCCAAAAGTTAGCTCAAGAAGAATGGATTGCTCAAATCCATATACACAAACCACTAGTTCATTAGTGTAGGATATTTACTTGCATTTGATAGAACCACTAGTAATTGTATATATACATGTATTTCCGAAATAATGAAATATAAGTTCTTCCATTTCATATACTAGTTACATGGTATAAGAGCCAGATCTTTGGCTTCGCCGTAGTTAGGCTTATTGCCTTAACACCGAACTCAATTTCAGTCCAACTTCCTTCTCCTCTCTGACATCGCCCTGCCTTTTCCAGACTATATATTTTGTGGTCCTCTCAGTTGGATCTAGTGAGATCCATTTTTTTGCTTCATTTCTCTAGATCATTTCTCTAATCTAATCTATAGGTGGCTATTTCTTTTCCAGGTTCTACTCGTTTGTCTAATCTAATCTTTAAGTGGCTATTTCTTTTCCAGGTTCTACTATTTTTATTTGGGTGAGTGGAACTTTAGTTGAGGGATCATATTAGTCCTCTATTTGTTTGAGAAGAACCTGATCAAGTCCTCTGCTTTATTTGAGAAAATTTGTCCTCTATTTTGTTTGAACTTGTTCAAATGGTGTTGGATTAATTCTTTGGTTTTCATCTTGTGCCTCTTATTTGCTGGCAGATATTTATGGCTAGGGCTTCTATTTTGTGAAGTTCGATTATTCTCTCTTTTTGGTGGAAATTCTTGATTGAAAAAGAAGGAACAAATCTCGGTCCATGCTTCTCCAGGTTGCCTTGACATTAATAGTTGATTTTGTGTTAGTTCCCTAGTCTGTTTCACGTGGTTTACTTGATTGGAGTTTTATTTGTGTCTAGAAAAGACTTAGTTTGGGTATAGTTTAGCTTTGGAGGATTCTCAATGAACTTATTTTGATACTATGAATATATTAGTTGGGAAAATGACTGCTTCTAGTCCATTATCAGATAAAATGGTTTTGGTTTCGGATAGGAGTTTGCTAAATTCTCTCAATATCAAAAATCATTAAAGGATACACACTTCAATTAATGTCTTTCTTGAGCCAGATAAAACATGTCTTATCACCTCTTCAAATAAATGGGTGATTGATTTAGGTGCCACAAATCACATGACATGTAATCCTAATATTTTTGTCTAGCGTTTGATCACACAAAGCACCCTCTCCAGTTAGATAATGGATCAACTTGTAACAGTGGTAGATTTGGGATTGTTCAACCAACCTCATCGATTGCCCCGTTATTTGTATTTAGTCTACCAAAGTTGCCTTTAATTTGATTTTTGTTAGCAAAGTTACCAAAGAACTTAATTGTTATATCTCATTCTTTCCTGATCATTGTTTGTTTTGTGATCTTACCACGAATCAGGTTATTGGTAAAGGATATGTATACATTGAACTCTACATCCTTGATGAATGAGAGTCTTGGTCAGTTGCCTGATCTAGTATCGTGGATGCATTTGAAACACATTGTCAATTGGGACAACCTTCTCTACCTCTGCTACAGAAGCCCTGTCCTCAGTTCCAAAATATTTCTTCATTGGAATGTGAATCATGTCGGTTTGCAAAATACATAACTGAGTAGGTCCAAGAGTTAATATGTGGGCTGAGTTAGTTAATTCTAGGGTCTTGGGACCATGTCATGTCATTTTCAAAATTGGGCACAAGTATTTTGTCACTTACGCGGATGATTTCTCTCGGATGACCTGGATTTAATTTATTCAGTGCCTTTTATGCTGAAATTAAAACTCAATTCAATGCTTCCATGTGTATTCTAAGGAATGATAATGCTAAAGAATACATGTCACAGTTGATTTGGTCCTACGTGAGACAACATAGTATTCTCCATCGATCTCCATGTGTTGATACACCCTCTCAAAATGGAGTTGCTGAGCGGAAGAGCAAACATCTACTTGAGACAGCTTGGGCATTCTTATTCCAAATGAAGGTTCCTAAATAGTTTACGCCAATGCGGTCTCAAGACTTGTTTTCATATTAATCGCATGCCATCTGTACTTAGTGGTGACATGCCTTATCATGTTCTTTTTCCAAACAAGTCACTATTTCCAGTGGAACCTAAGGTGTTTGGAAGTACATGTTTTGTTCGAGATGTTCGATCATTCGTTACCAAGTTGGATTCCAACGTATTGAAGTGAGTTTTCTCGAGATATTCTTGCCTTTAGGAAGGTATAAGCATTATTCTACTGAACTTGGAAAATATATGGCATCAACTTGTGTGGTATTTTAGAAATTACACCATTCTTCTATGCACCTCCCATTTCTACGAGTCAAGAAAAGGAAGATGAATGGTTAGTCTATCAAGTTACTCGTTTCCTGACAGGAAAATTAGATAAAGTTGTTCTTCCGTTTCTTAGTACTTCTATTGAGCACTAATCCACTATTGTGCCTTCAACAGTTATTCTTTTTGCGCCAGCAAAAGTGCCAATTGTTCAAGTTTACTCAAAGAGAAGAGATATCAATGATATGTCTTGCACTAGTTCCTTTGTCATCAGATTTTCCTCCGCCTGATACTTTAGAAAACATTGACCTTCCAATTACTTTTCGTAAAGGTACATACTTGCAAATCCACATATTCAATTACTAATTTTGTTTCCTATAACCGCTTACCCTCCACATCTAGATCTTTGATTGCTTCTATAGACTCCATCATTGTACCTAAAGCAGTGAAAGAGGCTTTGAGTCATTA